TTAATTAATTTCAAAGAGAGAGAGCATGCAGGGGAGGGGCAGAGGGAGAAGGAGAGAGATTGCTCAACTCCTCAGTGAACGCAGAGCCCAATATGAGGCTCAGCTCTCAGGACCCTGAGATCATGACCTGACACTAAATCAAGAGCAGGTTGCTTAACTGACTGAGCCATCCAGGCACCCAAGACCAGTTATATTTATGTATCAGGTCTGTTTATGGTCATTTTGGAAAAAATATAAATGCGCACATACACATACATACACATTCTATATTTCACTATATAGTAGGATAAATTTATCAAGAGAACTTTAAAATAAAATTAAATTTTGTATTTAGTATGTGAGAGAACAAGGAAATACCCCCAAAATTCAAGTATCTTTTCATTTTCTGCATTTTGGAGAGGGCGGCTAAAAAGTGAATACATATTCATCAAATGAGCAAAAAAATGGCAAAGTATGGTTAATGTCTTTAGTGAACATAAAAGATAAGAAAAACACAATATCGGGAGGACGAAGTGAGTTAGAATGGGCAGTGAGTATCCATATGGTTTTGCCACTTAAGATGGCAGAAGTTGAGGATGAAGGCAATGAAGTAGAGGGTGAGAAACTATTTTATGGAGGGAATAGAATTGTGTGAACAAAGGTAGAGAGAAAAGTTGAGTTTTGGTGAATCTCATTTCCAGAATTCTTAATGCTGGTTCTGAGCCGAATATCACTTAATGCTATATCTGAATTGTATACGTTTATCAGTGACTTGATTTGCATATCTGTAATCTCTCCTTGATCTCTTCGGGTAGTCGTTAGCCAGAAACTCAGCAGAAGCTACTTCCAATAAGATAATTGAGTATATGCAAGCTTTAGATAGGGTCTTCTCAAGTTACTCATCCATCAGAATCTCCTGCTTACAATCGGATCTATCCTGTAGTTGAAAATATTAAGGAAGAGCAACACCTTTAAATTTCCTGCTTATTCTGAAGAGTATTCATAGAACTCAACAAAATGAAAACAAACAACCCAATTTAAAAAATTGGTCAAAGACCAGGACAAATCTTACAAAGGAGATACACAGATTCCAACTGAGCCCATGAAAAGATGTTCCACTAAGTCATCTAGTCAGCAAATTATAACAACTATGAGGTACCACTACACACCTTTTAGAATGTCCAAAATTTGGAATACTGAATATCAAATGCTGGCTAGGATGCAAACAACAGGCACTTTCAGTCATTGATAATGAAAATGAAAAATGCTACCGTCCCTTTGGAAGACAGTTGAGCGGCTTTTTACAATCTAGGCATGCTCGTACCATATGGTCCAGCAAATGCACTTCTTGATAATGATACAAAGGAGCTGAGAATTTATTTCCACATAAAAACCTGCACCTAGATCTTTATACTGCTTTATCAGTAATGGCCAAGACTTTAAAGTAATGAAGATGTTCTTTAGTTAGATGAATGGACAAATAAACTATTTTTTTTAAGATTTTATTTACTTATTTTTGAGAGAGAGAGAGAGGCAGCAAGGGGAGAAGGAAAGGGAGAGGGAGAGAAGCAGACTCCAAACTGAATGTAGAGCCTGATGTGGGTCTCGATCTCATAACCCTGAGATCATGACCTGAGCCAAAATCAAGAGTCAGCTGCTTGGGACACCTGGGTGGCTCAGTTGGTTAAGCGTCTGCCTTCAGCTTGGCTCATGATCTCAGAGTCCTGGGATCGAGTCCTACATTGGGCTCCTTGCTCAGTGGATAGTTTGCTTCTCTTTCTGCCTGCAGTTTACCTGCTTGTGTTCTGTCTCTGAAAAATAAACAAAATAAAATAATAAAATAAAATAAAATGAGAGTCAGATGCCTAACAGACTCAGGCACCCCGTATTTTAAATTTCATTCTACGCTTAAGAGACTACTATTGTGAATATCCCCCAACTCACTGATAGTGGGCACACTCACACCATTCACTTGATGAACTAGAAATCATTCCATGAATTATGTAATAAGAACCAAAGGATATAGAGCATTAGAAGATGAGAAGCAAGAAATCAGCGTATCCAATGGCAAAGACTAGAAGAGAAAGGGAGACAATAACTAGAAATTACACTAGGGACAGGGGGACCAGACATGGTCCACTTGACCCTTGAACAACAGGGGTTGTTGAACTGGGTTGTTGAACTTGTAGAACTGGGCAGGTCCATTAACACATGAGTCTTCTTCGATATAGTACAGTTTTACAAATCTACTTTATCTTCTTTATGGTTCTCTTAACATTTTTATTTCTCTTACTTTATTATAAGAATACAGTATATGATAGATACATTATATAAAATACATGTTCATCTGCTGCGTATGTTATCCGTTAGGCTTCTGGTCAATAGTAGACTCTTGGTAGTTAAGGTTTGGGGGAGTCAAGTTAGATGTGGATTTCCGACTAGGCAGAGGGTCAGTGCCCCTGAACCCCTCCCCCCACATTGTTCAAAGGTCAACTACAGGCATTTGAAGTCATTACTCCTAGCCTTTCTTCAAAATTGCTTCAATCCTTGCTTAATGCCATTGCACTCTGGTTCTTTGCTGTGCTCAGTGATAATAAAATAATAATATGAATAAAATACCCACTGGCATGGAGTAACATAGCTCTAAATTAATACCTCGCACAGCAACCTGTGAAAAGACAGTTAAGCAAAGGAAAACAAAACAAACAGATCGTACCTAAACATGTCAAGTAATTTTCACATTCTGATGCTTATTTTTGCAACATATTTTTACTATCATTCTTATGTGAATCAACATGTTTTCAAACCAAAAAAAAAAAAAAAAAAGATGATTCATACCCCATGTTTCCTCAACTGACATGATTCAAGCTTATTGTTTACTCCAAGGACATGGAAGTAAGACAGCTTTCATGTTGATTCAAAAGCAGGTCTGTTTTTTGACAACCCCTCCCGGGGATCAATTAGATCCATCTGTGTCTACAGCTTTAGTGAGTCAGGCTGCTACCCATTAGAAATAAGACTAGTACTTTATCCCACATAAAGTAGCTCTTGTCAGACACCAGCTCCTGTGACAGTAACTAACCCCCAAACCAGTCCTGTATTTCAAGGGTATCTCAAAAATGCAGCCTTCCTTTATTCCTCACACCAGGGTCTTAACTCTAAACATGTTATATTTGCAAGTCTGTAACCCTCACATTACTTTACCAGGTGGTAGTTTTACTAATAAACTTTCTGATTTTTTTTTAACGTATTGCATTAAAATCATACTTTATTAATATTTTGACTCTAGCATGCTTTTATCAGTCTTCAAGGATGGAACATACAGTAAGTTAAACAACATAGCATGTTCTCTAGATACCCTGTTTCTCTGTGTGCCAAAATTCTCATTTATTGAAACATAAAGAGTTTCAATCCATATTTATTTACTTTTTTATTACTTTCTTTACAGCCTTCCATATTTCTTCCGTAACTGTTTATACGCTTGAAATTACCTGTAAATCTACTCATCAGGCATTTTCCACTTTCACAATTATCAACAACATGCTCAGGGTCTCAACTATAGGACTGAATGAATGATAACGGGTTAATTCATAACAGCTACGAGTGGAGCTGATGGTTGAGAACGCCCCTACAAACACTGGCGACGCATACGGACTTCTGTAGTTCAACTGAGAAAATCACCTTGACATACGGACACGTACAACAACAACTTGAATCCAGTGAGTAAATTAGCCAGCATTCGATCTGACATGTAGGGGCACTCAGTAATCGCCTTTTTTCTTCTCTTTCCCAAAACAAATGTGTCTGTTTCAGAGTTCTCTCTTGACCACGGACATGTTTCAAGAAGGGGGACACTCAGATCAGTTTGGAAGATAGTTCATATAGAACCTTCTATATGAAGGTTCAACCCCTTAGTGGTGGAAGATTCAAAACAAATCACATATTTCTCTCTGTCTCTCCTCTCTCTCGCTCTCTCTCTTTTTTTGGGGGTGGGTGGGTGGTGGGGAGGTGTTTCCCAGTACTTGCATACATGTGGGATGTGGACAACTATCAGGGAATTTAAATGTACAGAAGAAACATAACTGAATCAATACTACTATTACTCAAAATATTTTGCAGGATCTAGGGCACTTGGAATGGCTCAGTCGGTTAAGCTTCCAATTCTTGATTTCAGCCCAGCTGGTGATCTCAGGGTTGTGAGATCGAGACCCACGTGGGGCATCATATTCGGCATGAAGTATGTTTTTTTCTTCTCCTTAGCTTCTTCCCTCCTACTCCCTCCCTTCTTCTCTCCTCTCAAATAATTAAAATCTTTTTTAAAAAATATGTTGCAGGATCAATGTAAAAGTGAGAAAAAGTGAAATCCCACAATGATTCAGTAGTAGTGCAAATGGAATGTATGGGTTTGGGGTAGGAGGAGAGAGAGAGATTTTTTTTTTACTCTATTGATGGCTTTGTTGACTCACTACCCAGTAGCCTTCTATCTTTAAATCAATAGGAACTCTTTGTAAAGTCTGGGCTTTGAACAATTCCATAATTCATCTTACCCCAGGACTGGCTCTAATTGCTTTCATCAGTGGACACGATCGTCAGTGAAAAAAAATGAACTCCAAATTGCAAATGGTAACACCATCTCTTTTGGTAAGAGATAGAGATTTTAGAGTAATTGAAAAATGTATTACATGTCCACTGTGTTTTAAGCACTGTGAAAATATATCATTAACCTTGGAAATCATCCTCTGAGATTGTATTATGAAATGCCTTTTATAGATAAAAAGTTGAGACTGGTTATCTGGAGTGCCATGTCCAACATCACACCACTGTCGAACCCTGTTACAGGGACTGTCAGCAGAGGTTTCTGCTCCAACCTCAAGGCCGCTCACCTAATACTTATCATGCAGAGGCATTGGATTTTCAAGTCTCCTATCACTAAACAGGAATCATTCACCCAGGGCTGGAGACAGCGTTTTTTTTCTCTCTTTTTCTGACACACAGAAAATAAGAATGTTTCCTCTTCTTACCTAACAGCACTACTGCCCACATCGAGGTCTTGCGCGGTGACAGCACCGATGATGGTCCCAATTGGAGTGTCTTCGTAAACCTCCATGGTGTAGAGCGGTTTGCTAAAAACCGGGGGTTCCTCCACATCCAGCACGCTGATCTTCACGGTGGCCGTGTCTTTAAAGGGGCCCGCGGAGTGAAATCTGTGGTCAAGGTGAACGTTGGAGGCCTCTACTTTAAAAGTATACGCCTTCTTTGTTTCAAAATCCAATGGCTGTAATGGGGACACATCAAAAATGAAGAGGAACATTCAGGCAAATTGTGGCAAAGTTGGTGAACATGGTTTCAGAGCATTTGCAAGTTAATACCAATTTTGTCCTGCTTTCAGAATTTTTAATTACGAAATATTTTCAGAATGACCCACTTGTACAATATTCCAGGTAACTTAGAAAGATAATCAGCTGCATGTGTTAAAATGGTACGTATGTGAACATACGTGCTTCAGGAGGACATTATTTTCGTAGTGAAAACAAATTTTAAGGGAGGCATTTTCTAATCTTATACAATGCTGACATCTAGTGGAAGCAAGCTGTAGTTAAAACAGAATAAAATTGAAATTGGATCGTTAAGACAGTGTATATTCCAGTTAAAAATTTGGTCTAACAAAAATAAATAAATAAATAAATTCTTCTTAGCTTGATGATAATGTCATTTTGTCAAGCATTTTTGAATATTTAGGTCTTTTCACTAAAAAAGGACTATGTCAGGATTTAAAACATACACAGTGGTAATTACACAAAGCATTTCTGTCTCTGCTGTTCTCAGCATTATATATATACATAATTTAGTAGGCAGTATAATGCATCGTCAGGATATTTTACCAATAGCTTGAACATATGTGATCAAATTAATGAAAATTGTGAAATATAGTATTTGGAAGTCATGAAGTCACTGATTCTCTATTTTTGGCTTTACTACTATTTCTTTTCACTTTTATGCTGAGTATTAGTTTTATGTTACCAATAACTGAAAATATCATATTCTGGATATATGGTATTGCCGTGGTGTTTTATATAAACTTTAAGGTCAACAGCTCTGACTTCTAATCACCTATGGAAAACCAAGACAACATGAAATTAACATAGAGACTTCCAGGGTCCTTTAAAAGTTTCTGTTTTCTAGATTAATTCTCTCTGGTATGACTCCAATGACTTGCTAATTGCTGTGTCAACACATCTGTTTTTTGCTTCAGCACACCTGGGGGAAATAAAGGAAGTATATTTCTCTCTTAAGGACAAGATTGTCGTTGTAGGCATTTTCTCTGAGGATGAAGAAAGAAAATTAAAAAATTACTGTGAAATCCTCAAAAATTCTCACAAGTCCATGGAGTTTATTAGAGCAAATACCTCCTAGATGTGGCATTTAAGTTTTGCTCACAATAATTTTCATTCAGGGGAATCCATATTTATTTTCCCTGTAATTATTCCTCTTATTTTATCCAATTCACCAAATTTTTGTTTGAGCTTTTATCTGCTTTCCCCTCAATGTTCTCTTTTACTTTCCACATTTTTAGTTATTTGTGTATTCTATCGATATAATATTGATTTTCTTCCATTTCCATCTCTTTTCTATTAGGAATTACAACTTATATTTAAGCTGGTAACAGTAAAGAATGGCGCGTATAATACACCATTCTTGATATTATGTCTATTGCTGAATAGAAATAGATCATGAATTTTTGTAAATTCTAAATGCTCTATGAATGTTTAGCATAATTTTCCATCATAGTGACCCCATCATCATCATCTCCTTCTTCTTCCCCCCTTCTCCCCCCTCCCCCCCTTCTTCTACTCCCTCATCATCTTCTCCTCCCCCTCCTTCCCCTCCCTCCCCCTCCTCCCCCTCTCTCTCCTTCCTCCTCCTCCTCCTTCTTCTTCCCCTTCTTCTTCTTCTTCTCTTTTTTTTTTTTTTTTTTTGGTGACTCCTATTTTCTAAAGTAAAACTACTTTGACTTTAACACCTTGGATCCTTTTGCCTAGAAAGCAAATTGAGCTGTCCTACCTTATAAGTACTCCTTTTTGTGGGCCTAGAACATAGGAGCTAATACCAACTGTTTCCCTTTTCCCTCTCCAGTTTCTCCTAGACATTAAAATGCTCCTGATTATCTGCATGGTTAGGAGGATTCATTCTAGACAAGATCTGCCATTTATTTACCTACTTGATAACATGCCACACCCACCCGATGGACTGATGCCCACTTCAAAGTCCATTTCAAGCCCAGAAATGGAAGGAGAAGGCTGAAAACTTTTCCACACTTTTTCTTTGTTCTGATGCCAGGATATCAAGACATAGTCTATGCCTTTCCAGAACTTCTGACCTTGCATAGCAGGCAAATATTTGGTGGTCAGGGAGTGAGATGAAATTTTTTGTACACACAGATTATTTTGAGACTGAAAACTTATATTGTGTGGTAATCAAAGAATTAAAGAACATTCTAAGAGAAATGCCATAATAATATCCTAGATGGCCTTACTTCTTCATGACCCTGACCCTGGAAAATGCCATTTTATAAAAATGAATAGCTCAGAAACAGCAAAGAGAATCAATACTGACCTCTCTCTAGCTGACTGTATCCAAACCTGGCTAACTACCTCTACTTTTGGGGGTTGGTGCTGAAGGAGGAAATTCATCTAACTTTACAACCAATGAAAACTCTAATATTAGAATTGGGTATAGAACAAATAGGATTATTTTTTATTCTTAGAAAATTAATCATCTTCTATGACAGAATTCCATTATATGGAATTCCATTATATGGAATTCTTTTAAAAGAATTTAATTGAGTAACTCCCTGCTTCTAAGGGTGTTTCAAGAAAGTAAATTTAGTAAGACTGGAATTTGCAGGGAATAGTTGACATTGTAGGGAGCTGCATGGTAAGAGAGCTAACTATGGGGAAGCACAATATAATATACTTAGTTGTTCTTCAGAGTATCAAGGAGGAACTGGGCAAAGATCACCTTTATTGCATCTTTATTTTTAGCCACTTTCTCAGCTCTTACTTTGCTGGAGACCAGGTCATGGAAAAGTACATAAAATATTAATTGCTAATTTTTTTTTCCATTTCGAAGAGGAATAAGCAATTTTGGCCTAAAATGAAAAACAATAGCTCCCTAGGATTTTCCAGGCCTCAGCATGGGTCTAGATGATGCTGTGTGGAAACGTAGATATATTTTGAGGAATTTGAAAAACAACAGCTTTGGTAGAATTCCAAGATGTCCTCAAGATTTCTGTCCCATGACCTGCACTCTTGTATAATTCCTTTCCCTTGACTGTGTGAGCCACCTGTGAATTGCTTCGGATACCAACCCAGGAATTCAAGTTTTATGGAAAAATAAATGATGCAACTATAACAAGGGGTCTTCTTCACATGGGGTTGAGTTCACTAGAAAGAAGATTTTACTTGAGGGTCGGACCTAATCATGAGAGCTATTAAAAGAAAGGCAGTACAAATCAATCCCCCCAGCCTTGAAGAAGTAAACTTGTGAGGGTAGAAGCCACCTGGCAAGTGCCTAAGAGACGCCCACAGGAGCTGAGAGTGAAATATGGCCAATATTTGTCAGGAAACACAGCCCTCCATCATCAAGCCACGAAGAAACAGACTCTACCAACAACCAGTAAGCTTGGAAAACATCTGTAAGCTTCAAATCAGATCACACCCCAGCCTACATCTAGATTTCAGCCCAAGAGATTTCAGCGGAGGACCCTGTTATGGCATTCTCTGACCCTCCATAGCTGTGTTTTCATCGCACTTACTTTTCACTCCCCTCCATTGGTTCAATTTTTATGATTAACACGTATCTGTATTATTTCTCCAAGAGAGTACAGTCTTCACTCAACGGTATGTATCCGTAAGTGATTAAGACTCTACTTTCTCAATCATATAGCAGTTCTTACTGGAAGGGAGAATTTTCAATCAATGCAAATGAGTGACAGCTGTACCTCTATCCAAAACAGGGTTGACGATTTTCAAGACAAGGAGAGAACAGATTCATACAGACTCTACTTTCTCAATCATATAGTAGTTCTTACTGGAAGGGAAAATTTTCAATCAATGCAAATGAGTGACAGCTGTACCTCTATCCAAAACAGGGTTGACGATTTTCAAGACAAGGAGAGAACAGATTCATACCAGGCTGAACTATGATGAAAAGGCAAGAGGGATAAGATCTTGGAAGGTAAGGGTAAGGTAAGGTACAAAGATAACACTTTTAGATCAAGGGCAGAATTCCAGAGGCATTTTATTCTGTCTTTCAATAAACATTTCTGGAACATCCATCCATGTTCCAGACATCATTATTGGCACTAGAACCAAGAAGACAAAATCACTCCCTGCAAGGAGTTTGATGTCTTCTAGGACTTGATGGACAACAGTAGAGAAATATGCAAAATATGTAGCACATTGGGTGACAATAAATACTATGGTGTAAAGTGTAAAACTTGGGAGACAAATGTGTGTTCTGTGTGTTGGGGGTAGATGGGAATGTTTGTGTGTATCCTATAGCCATTGAGGAAGGAATTCAACTCAGCAACTTACTAAAAAGTAATGAAGTAATTATTTGAGGGATAACATTGAGGGATAAAAGTTGTTACATCATAGGTGAGAATGCCTGAACAACAAAGGGGAAAAAATAAAATGTGGCCATTTTTAAAACCTGAATTTTAGTTTTTGACAAATTTCAACATCATCTGTTTTAAAATTTTTTTTTAAATCTTAAAAAAAAACAATAGAATAACCAGACAGAAAAGTATTTTCTAACTAAAATTATTAAAGTGAAGAAACATATATTCCATTAAACTTAATTCTAAAAAAAATTGTCACAAAACTATTTTTTAGAAATGCATTTAATTTTTCCGTGCGTAAGTTACATTCCGGGTTTTTGTGCACTCCAAATTTTTGAGAGTTTTAATGAATTAACTTAAGAATCGTGGGCATTATTAGTTTTACGCCCCTATTTTAGTGACAATACTTTTTGGAACAAATTCAGTACCTAATTCAGCGACAATTCAGTAAGACAAAATAAAACAAAAAAGAACATTAAAAGAAATTCTAGTGCTTCTAGCTGAGAATTTTGGGTAAGATTTTCCCTAAAAATGAAAGAAGACTTAAGATTTAAGATAAGATTTAAGATTTACTTAAGATTAAGTAAAATATATGTTTTATAAGCACACACAGTATAAATCATGATTATCTAAGGAGGCCGATTATCTCTTGA